CAGGTTTGAATGTTTTATACTCTTTTCTTTTCTTGTCTGTTTGATGTTTATATTCTAGTGCTGTTTTATTGAGAGTCTTTTTTACTTTATCCCAACTATCCTGAACTTTTCGGTCACATTTGGACATTTATGGGTTGTTGTTCATCACATTGTAAATCAGGGATTGGCACAAATTCTATCCCATTTACTACCTGGAATGGGCTATATCCTGTGCTTTCATGTATAGCATTATTATATGCTACTTCAGCAAATGGAACTAAATCAGCCCATTTTCGCTGTTGATAGATGTATATGATCTCAAATACCTTTCAATCATCACATTAGCTCTTTCAGAAGCACCATTGGTGCTGGGATGGTATGCAGAGCTAAGACCTTGAGAGCATCCTAAAAGGCGTACAAACGCTCTCCAAAATCGTGCTGTGAATTGCACACCTCTATCTGAAATTATCCTCCTAGGTGTGCCATGTAATCTATATACATGTTTTATAAACAGGTTGGCTAATTTTGTTGCCAAAGGTAATCCTTTACATGGTATAAAGTGAGCTTGTTTTGAAAACAAGTCTATAATAGTCCAGATTACTGTATATCCATTACTGCTGGGCAACTCCACAATAAAGTCCAATAGTCCTAAAGATTTTCCTACTCGAGGTTTCGTAGTAGCACAAATGTGGCATTCTTTAAGGTACTGCTCAATGTCTGATCTCATATGTGGCCACCAAAACTGCCACCTTACCAAATGAAGTGTTTTTAAAAATCCAAAGTGTCCAGCCTGGCTTACATCATGACATTGGGATAATATTTTTTTCCTACAATTTGATGGAACATATATTTTATCCCCTCTCCAATGCAATCCATCTTTATGTAAACAGGCACTATTATTTGTTTTTATCCATACATCCATTTTTGTAGCCTCTTCTAATTCCTTTTTGGTTATCTCTTTCGTGGTCAACATCTGAATTTGTTTGGTTGACGGTCCTACAGAGATCATGGACTGAATAACTTCATCTCTAGACACATTGTATTGAGGTAGTCTAGATAGTGCATCTGCCATAAGTTTTTACCTCCCGGAACATATCACAACTGGAAATCAAAACATTTAAAATACAAAGCCCATCTTACTTGTTTATGGGATAGTTTTCTCAGTTTCTGTAATGCTTGTAAATTTTTATGATCCATCCAAACTTCAATTTTTTTTTCAACCCTTCTAATAGGTGTCTCCATGTACTAAGTGCCCATTTTATGGCAAAAGCCTCCTTTTCCCAAATAGCCCGCCTGCGTTCTGCGTAAATTTCCGTGATGTATATGCACATGGCTGTAATTGTCCATCAATGTTATACTGTAAGAGGACAGGCCCCACAGCCACATCACTTGCATCAGCTTGAACTACAAACCTTTTAGTTGTATCAGGATGTTTTAAAATGGGCTCTTGAGCAAATAAAGCTTTCAGGTCATCAAACGCTCACTGACACTGCTGTGACCATACAGTGGGTTGACTAGGTCTGGGTTTTGGCACTTGAGGTTTAGTTTTTAACTATTCTGTTCATGGTAAAGCAATTTGTGCGAATTTAGGAATAAACTGCCGGTAAAAGTTCACAAATCCTAAACAACTTTGTAATTGCTTTCATGTTTTTGGCTCTTTCCAATCAACTATGGCTCTGACTTTGTTGGGATCCATTTCTATTCCTTTATTGGATATTCTGTACCCCAAATAATCCAACGACGTACAGTGAAACTCGCACTTTGAAAGTGTGAAGTAAATTGGTGTGAAGTAATTTTTTCAGAACTTTCCTCACTAAGGTCACATGTTCCTCCATTGTTTTGGTATAAATTAAAATATCATCTAAATATACTAGAATGCCATGATATAGATGTTCTTGTAATACTTCATTTATAAGTTGCATGAAGACAGCGGGTTCCCCTTGCAACCCAAATGGCATAATGTTAAACTGAAAACTTCCAAGGGGGCAATTAAAAGTAGTTTTCCATTGATCCCCCTCTCGTATACGAACTCTATAGTAGGCTTTTCGGAAGTCCAATTTTGTAAAATACCTGCCAGTCGCCAATGTTGCTAACAAATCATTGATCAGTCATAAAGGATATACATTGTCTATACAAATAGCATTGAGCCCGTGGAAATCAACACAAAGACGTAATCCATCATCTTTTTTTTCACGAAATAAAACAGGGGCAGCTATATGTGATTTCCCGGGTTGAATAAATCCATGCGCTAAATTTTTATCTATATATTGTCTTATTTCCTCCATCTCTTTTGGAGTCATGGCATACATTCGTGGTTTTGGAAACTTTGCTCCAGGAATTAAATCAATTGTGCAATCAGTTGTTCTGTGTGGTGGTAATGTTTCACGGTCCTTTTTGCTAAACACATCTGCTAGGTCTTTATATTCCTCTGGATAACATAGTTCTTCAGAATCATCTATAGCTGTTACAACTTCCCTATTATTTACATATGGAGGGGACATAGGGCCAACTGCAATTCGTAATTTCCTAAAACTGTTTCCCCACCATATCGTGGGCTTCCATTTGTCTAACCATATTAGACCTAAAATTAGCGCCTCCCTCATTTGTGGTACTACAATAAATCATAATGACTCCCAATGACTCCCTATCTCTATTTTGATAGGGATTGTCATTATTGTAGCAGGACTCACACCTAATAATGAACCATCCACTTGTTCAAAATGCAGAGGTTTGGGCAGTTCTTCCACTGCTATGCAATTCATCAACCACTTTTTTACTAATTTACTAAATCTAGTACATCCAGTGTCGATTAATGCTCCATACTGACCCCTCAATTTGCTTGTTAGATTTTCCAATACTACTGGTATAACAAATGGTTGCACAGGATTACTCACAAAATCATCCTCATCTGGACTGTCATCTCCACTATCGTATAACCCCGAGACTACCTTGGGTAGTTGTTTGCCATCAGGTGTTTTCCTCTCACGTCTATTTGTCATTACTTCCGTGTTCATTTTTTGTGACACCCCTTGAGATCTTTCAGATGTAACTGTCCCTTGTTTCGTACCACGGGGCATAATACCACCTGGTAAATTGCTATTTGTGGTGCTGGGAATGTGAGCCACCTGTTTTCTATTATCTAGTTCTATAGATGGACACTCCATTGCCCTATGTCCCAGACCTTGACATCGGAAACACTTCATGGGCCCCATTCCCCTACCAATCCTTTTAGTCTCCTCCCCCACTTTACCCTGTGGTGCTACCTGCTCCTATTGGTTGTCTTTTGGGACCTCCAAAAGTAGGACAGAACTCCCTCAGTCCCACATCCAACTCCACAACTGTTTTATACCATTCCCCCAGTTTCTGGGGAACCCCCCTATAAAGACAAGCCTGTCTCAATCCTCTGTCTAAACCAGATCTGAATTCTCTAATCAATAGTCTTTCTGGCCAGGTGTGCAACTTAGTTGCTAATTTCCAAAATTCTCTGACATACTCCACAGCAGGCCTCCCATCCTGCTTCAGTGACATTAATGCTTCTTCATACTGATGTATCCTTAACCTATCTTCAAATTGAACTTTGAGTGCATCCAAAAACAAACCAACATCAATCAATTCCTTTGCATGCACACTATGAAACTCTGCAGCCCAATCAGCAGCATCACCTGTTAACACTGTAGTTATCGCAACTATAATAGACCATTGAAAAGGATAGAAATTTGAATATAATTCTAGGTGGTTCACAATTTGGCTTAAAAATAATGCTAACCTACCAGGGTTCCCATCAAAGGAAGTGTTTATAGGAGGAGGACTACCCCAAACCATTCTTTGAGGCCAATACCCAGATGTGCCTGATGGACCCCAGGAGTGAGTTGTTTGTCTGGTTTCTTGCTTAATGTTTTAGTTGTCAATATAGGGAAGAAAAGAAAAGAAAAACAAATCCTTTCCCTTCCCTCTCTCATTCACCGCTTCAAAGTCTTCTTTGGGAACAATGTTGTTCTTTATAATTCAAATTGCAGGGTACCTTGTATTGTTGTTTTTCCAGTTCGACCCGGTCAGCCAAAACTTTCTCTTCTTATCTTCCTCCTGCACATTCTTTTCCGGTCAAGTTCTTCTTTGAGGTGGCCATTTCTGACCACTGCTGCAACTGCCTTCGGGAAAGGGAGTAAGGCCAGCTGTGGAGGAGAGATGCAATTCTCCTTGACCCTGCTGGCAGTCTCTCACCTCTTCACCACCTCTATGGAGTGGCTTAGCCCCCAAACCAGCCAGCTTGGGGTGCTCCAGTGGTGAGCACAGATCGAAACTGCACACGATTGCTGATTTCAGTCTGTCACCGAAGAAGCTCAAACTGGAATTTCCAGGGTTTTCTTAATCTTATGCAATCCTTTTGATCAAGACATGAAACAATCAAACTGGAAATATGAAATGGAAAATATGAGGTTGATGGTTGGTTATTTAGGACAGGTAGATTACAAATGGATAGAAATGAACAAGAGAGTAATCTAATACTCTAATATGCACATCTTACATTTATGTTCTCCATTATCTGTTTCTCTCCTCATTCGGTTCAAACATATTTTTTATTTACTGTTCTCACCACATGTCAAAATGCCATTTTTCAAATTTTATCTAACTGCCTTCTCTGTTTCCTTGCAGTTATTCCCTGCATCTTTGTCCTAAAACATGAGGAATCAAAACATTTCTTACTTTTTGATGATGGAATTCTCAAAAGATCGGCATCTACAGCTTTTATTTTTTTCTTGTTCTTTGTGTTATATCTGCCAATTGTAGCAACAAATCTTCTCATCCTCTCTGCAGTAGCTTTGGATCATCAACTGCACAGCCCTATGTACTTCTTTTTAATGAATTTGGCTCTACGGGACTTAGGCATTGCTGCAGTCATTGTCCCCAAATCCATGATAAATTCTTTCATGGATACCAGGCAAATCCCTTACTTTGGTTGTACTGCTTAAATCTTTCTCTTTATCTCCTTTACAACTTCTGATTTGTCCCTCCTGACAGTCATGGCATATGATAGGTATGTTGCCATTTGCCATCCACTGCACTATGAGATGGTGATAAATTGGAAATACTGTACTGAAATAATAATTATAGTGTGGGTTACAGGCCTCCTCTATGGAATGTTGCATACCACTGGCACATTTTCTATACCTTTTTGTTCTAATGTTGTCAACCAATTTTTCTGTGATGTTCCACAGTTGCTAAAGTTATCTTGCTCTGGATTTAATCTACTTGAGGTTGGAGTACTTGTGGTCAGTAACATTGCGGGACTAGGTTGTTTTACTTTCATTATCATATCTTACATTATGATCTTCAAGGCAGTATTAAAAATCCCTTCTGAACAAGTAGGCAAAAAAACCGTTACCCCAACATGAGCCTGAAATGTTGGAAGTGCAAAAAGAAAGATGGAACATTCTACTACATATGGTGGTCCTGTATAGGATCCCAAAGATACTGGCTGAGAATTTAAAAATGGCTGGAGTAAATTACGAATGAACAGATTGAACCTAAACCAGAATTCTTCCTACTAGGGATATTTAGGGGAAAATATCCAAAAAAAGTTAAATACATAATATTACATACATTGATGGTGGCTAGATTGGCCTTTGTGGTGTGTTAGAAACAGCCCTATATTCCACCAGAGGAACTGATAATTCAAAAGATAACAAGTTGTGCAGAAATGGATAAACTAACCCCAGCCCTAAAAGATAAGGAATCATCAGAGTACTATACGATTTGGAATTGTTGGTATGAATGGATAGACCGGAGACAGATTATATAATAAATGGTAAAGAAAGATAAGAAATAGCTGTAGTAAATATGTATTTGCACTAAATATTAATTGTAAATATTGCACAAAATAATGACATAAACAAGAAACCACAAACTGTCGATGCTGAAATTGTTTTTAACCAGTCTTTTTCTGTGGGTTTTTTTTGTGTTGTTCATTTTATTTTAATTGTAAAATTAATCAAGTTTATTTTTTTAAAAAAGTCTTATGAACTTGTCTTTCCCACCTTATTGTAGTGTCTATGTTAGTATTAAGTGCATTAATGGCCTATGGGAGACCTCTCTCTAATGCCTCATTTTACTTAGATTTGTGGTTGACTGTGCTGTGTCCTCTTCTTCCACCTCTATTCAATCCTATCCTCTATAATATGAGAAATAGGAATATCAAATATGTCCTGCCTAAACTGTGGAGAATGTTATTTCTATTCTGGTCATCCCAATTTTGCATTTTCCTACCTATTCTTTTAATTTTCTGAATATAGGAATATGTTAAAAGGGAGCTATGCAGTAACTGGATGAAGGCACATTCAACCTTTCAATCCAGAAGAATTGTAGAACTGAAGAAGTTACTCAGCAAAAATTCTGCTGTACTTTAAATATGCTAAATGTGTGTAATTGGCAGCTTCTGTGTTGCCATAGAATAAATACTCTTGATTTTTGGTGAAGTTCATACCAGGATGCAATATAATTGTCAAAAACAAGTGTTAATTATTTAAGCTTGTTTAAGTGAGAGTTGTTTAAACTATGTAGCCTGTTTTTCCCTGTGCCCTCTGTGTAAAATGATTTCCTCTACAATGCTTTCACACAATATGATTAGTTAAAGCTTCAACTTTTCCAAAAGTTCACAGGATTTTATGCTGTTCTCTCCTTAAATGGTCATTGCTCATACACTTTGACATTTGTTCCTTTATGTCAATCTTAACTTCTTCCATCCACCTGGGAAGTCACTGCATTTTTATTGATAAAGTTTTTCAGAAGGAATTTTCCATTGCCTCCTTCCTAGGACTGAGAAAGTGAATAACTGGTCCAAAGTTTCCCATCTGGTTTTGCTTCTACAGAAGGACTAGACATCACTGTCTCATGGATTCTAGAGTGGTGCCTAAAGCACCACACAAAACAGGTTCTCACTGATTTTAGCAGTAACATGCAACAACATGTCAATTGCAAGAGATAAATACTCCATTATCTAATAACTGAAGAAACTACAACAGATGTAAATAGATGTACACCAGAATGATATTTTATTAAAATGAGCTTGAGAATGATTTCATCCAAGCTGCTAATAAGGTATACTAAAATGTTTATTCAGGTTTAGTGTTATCTATGCCATCATCTGTCCAATGCCTTTTAAAATTTATTCCATGTAAATGTACTAATAAAAATTGGATCCTATATTTATACTTATATTGAATGTTTCCTTGTTGTTTTCTTGCCTTGTTTGTGAATTTTTCCTACATTAGATTTTACTCAATAAAGTCTTTGACCATTTATCTCATTTGCATGGGTATTACTTTCTAATCTGTGGTGGGATTCAATTTTTTTTACTACCGGTTCTGTGGGCGTGGCTTGGTGGGCGTGGCAGGTGAAGGATACTGTAAAATCTCAAGTCAGAGATGGTATTTGCTGGTTCTCCAAACTACTCAAAATTTCCACTACTGGTTCTGCAGAACTGGTCAGAACCTGCTGAATACCACCTCTGTTTCTAATTTATAAACATAATCTTCAGATTTTTATGTGGCGTATTCAACAAATCCACACTTTTCAAGAGTCCTTTTAATGCCAATTCCATCTGGAGATGTCCAGGATGCTGGGAAGGCAATGAAATGTGTGAGTCTTACACAGAGAATTAGAATTTTGGAGTTCTATAAAGATTCACCACCCCCTTTATTCAGCAAATATGAGGAAGAACAGTCTCCAAAAATTTTACTTTTGAAATATGAGAAATCAAAACATGTTAATAAATTCTCAAAATACAGTGCTCATATACATTACCATTATTCTACCTCAGAATTATGGCATATGATTACCAAGTTAGAACACAGGGAATAGATTTCTACTGGTCTTTAAACTTCACATCCCCTACTTATTTAAAGAAAAGCTTGAATTTTCCACTCCTATATTAATGATGTGGGCTCTTTAGGCTATCTTGCCCCATCCATGGTGGGCAGGATTGAGGATGGAAATTCTTAAAATAGGAGGTGATACAGAATCCCAAGTGATAAAAGTTTAGTCACATTTTCTCACTTGATTCATATCCATATTTCATCTACTGAATTTCTAGGTATAATTGGACAGGCGTCATTCTACCAATTTTCCTTTAGAAATATTCTTACTATGCATTTTTCTTAGAAGTTTTGTAATTATATTATAATTGTTTCAAATATACTTTACAAGTAAAAGATGCTGAAGTATGACACATGTTCTCCTGGGTAAGTGGTAGGGGCCATAGGAGTGGGATAGTATAAATTACACAATTACATATGCATGTATATATATGTATATATGCAGGTCTTGGCGTGTTCGGGTCTTTTCCCGTGTAAGATTGAGAGTATCTTGGCAATATTTCGATGAGGTCCCACTCACCATCTTCAGGCTGGTGCTTTTGGCTTCGTGCTTGTGCGAGCAAAGCGTGATTGGAGCTGCCGTCTCCCTATATATACTGATGAGGAGGTTGGCTGTGTTGTCATTTCTTGATTGGTTGATGGAGTTGATGTTTGCAGATTGGCTGGCTTTTTTGTAAGAACATGTATGGCTGAGGTATTAGCTGTGTGTCTCTCAGCCTCCTGTGTTGTAACAACCTGGGTACCCAGACATCTTGTATCTTGATTGGCTGGCAGCATACTCCATTAAAGTAACACAATGCTGCCAGCCAATCAAGATACAAAAAGAGCCAAAAAACAGACAGAAGATATTAGAGACACCAATCAAGCAGAACACAGCAAACTCCGAGACCAATAAACACAGACCAAGACTCCCAACCAATCAGGATGAAGAAAAAACCATTCTGGCACAGCAATAGGCTGCCCCAAATTTAAATCTGAAACCACTGTAAAAGTCTGACTCACAGACGGACACAATACAGAAGCCTGATGATGGCAGATGAGATTCTGCTGAAACGTTGCTACAACTTTAAAAGAACAACTACAATGACGTGGGAAAATACCCGAACCAAGCCGAACACCATATATATATATATATATATATATATATATATATTGTATGTACAGTGATTTTCTAAAACCAATATTTATATAAACCCTTTTCTAAATATTAACCACTGTGTATATAATCTATGAGATTTTGTACTGATTTCTATGGATTTATTTTATTATTTATTGTATTATAAGTTTTATAAGTCTGTATGGGCTTATATTGTGTCTCATTCTCTGAGCCTTGTTCTCTGATTGCATGTATCAGCAATCTCATCAGGCAGCCATATTCTCCCTAACAAGGAATATGGCTTGCAATATAACAGTACAATAATCATGCTTTTTTGGACTCCCACATAAATGCAACTGAGTTCTTTTATTTGGTAACCATTGGCATTTATTAGCTTTCTAGAAGTTTCCTGTTACTTTTTTTGTTCTTTCCCTCTAAAAATGGCAGAATTATTATCCCACCTCTAGGTATGTGGACATACCTAGACAAGGTCAAGCTTTTCCCCTACCTGTGGCATGCAGAATAGAGGGTGAGGTTTTTCGTTTGTTTGTTTTACAAAAATTGGGGGTCAAAGAGAATTTTTAAAAAATGAAATATGTGCCAGGGAAGTCTTCTCACTGGATTGTTTTTTACCTTTCAGAATTGAAACTGCAGCTCCCATTCTGTTAATAATCTGAAATATTATTATTCTATGTGATATGATATGATAACTGGTCCTAGAGGAAGCTATTGTGTTCTTGATGGTCAATTATGTTAATGAGCACAGAGAAGTCAGTTTTATTTACATTTGCTAAACATGTTAATAAGCAGGCGGAAGTCAGTTTTCTTTTGGTGTACAAGTCTCTTGAGAGAAATAAACAAGATTAATAAACATCCAGAATAGAAATATCTAGACTATAGATAGTTTCACTACATGAAAATTAGTGGGACTGCATTGACTTAAAGAGAGATTTGTAGAGATTTCTGTGTAGACTTTAAATAATGAATTTACTACATTGGTACCTTTTCCACATGATAATTATGAAGAATAAAAAAACAGTTATAATTTTCAAAAATTTGGACTAAATCTTCATGAACTGATCTCTAATAGGTGAATTCGCATTGGCAAAGTCATCTCATAATCTATCTGTATATGAATTTAAAAAATGCATGGTAAGATTTTTGTTTTTAAGCAAGCTATGTATTATTGTTGAAAATGTTCTTGCATGACATTCAACATTGTAAAAAAAAAAATGCTGAGATGTTACAATTGCAGTATGTCTCATTTTCTGTCCAAACTTTACTACAAACATTGGTTTTTATTGGATGGGATACTGTCTTTTCAAACTGAGCTTTAATTTCCTGCTGATTGTTGGATAAGGAGATTTATTAATTTATTATTCTAATATTTGAGGTCTTTTGATTAAATTTAACAGTGGTAAAATTGTGTGTTTATCAGCAAATGAATATCAAAGTAGCAGTTATGTTGTAAATTAAATTGTATAATTTTCTATTTAACAATATGCTGTTAAATATATGTTTAATATGGTTTTTATGTATTGTTTAAAGGCTTTTTATGCTATTATTTTAGCGTAAAATCTGGTAGGGAAATTGAGAAAAAAACCATTGCCATTGCTTACATCAATACACACACAGACAGAAATTATACATTTGCTTTCAGTATTTCCAAATAGGACATATAACAAAATATTTTTATATTTGTGGGCATCATACATTGAAATTCTTCAATTCTCCAACACTACCACAGTCTTGTAGAAGTGCATACACATAATAGGTCTAATTATTCCAAATAATCTTTCACTGACAAAAAATGACTTTTGTCAACTTTGTTCTACTCTTAGCCAATGGTTTTGATTACTACAAGATATAATATAATTTAAAAGAGGAAAGTAGGAAAAATGTGACATTAGTGGCTGTTTCTTTATTATAGATGGGTAAAAATGGGAAACTGCTCTAATATCTCCATCATACAACCCTGTTTTCCGTCTTCTGATCCTCTGTTCATTCTCCCCATGCTTTATGTTTCTTAATGTTTTCTATTCTCACCATATATCAAAATGCCACTTCCAAAATTTTACCTAACTGAATTTCCCTCCTTTCTTTCCTTGCAGTTATTCCAGCTTCGTCATAAATAAAACATGGAGAACCAAACCACAGTGCCTTACTTTCTGCTTCTGGAATTCTCAAAAAATCGGCATCTGCAGCTTTTACATTTCTTTTTCTTCTTTGTGTTATATCTGGCAACTGTAACCACCAATCTTCTTATCATCACTGCAATAGCTTTTGACCATCGACTACACAGCCCCATGTACTTCTTTCTCATGAATTTAGCTCTGCAGGACATTGGCATTGTTTCAGTCATTGTCCCCAAATCCATGATAAATTCTCTCATGGACACCAGACACATCTCTTACTTTGGTTGTGTTACTCAAAACTGCCTCTTTCTCTCCTTTGAAGTTTCTGATTTCTCCCTCCTGACAGTCATGGCATATGATCGGTATGTTGCCATTTGCCACCCACTGCACTATGAGATGGTGATGAATTGGAAATACTGTACTGAAATAATAATTCTAGTGTGGGTTACAGGTCTCCTCTATGGAATGTTGCATACCATTAGCACTTTTTCCATCCTTTTTTGTTCTAATGTGGTCAACCAATTCTTCTGTGAAGTTCCACAATTGCTAAAACTATCCTGCTCTGGATTAAATCTACTTGAGGTTGGATTTCTTGTGGCCAGTATCATTGTTGTACTAGGTTGTTTTATTTTTATCATTGTATCTTATGCAGTGATCTTCAAGACAGTATTAAGAATCCCTTCTGAAAAAGGAAGACAAAAGGCCTTATCTACTTGTATTCCCCATCTAACAGTCGTGTCTATGTTATTATTAAATGGATGCATTGCCTATCTGAGACCTTCTTCTAACACTCCATCTTACTTTGATTTTGTTTTAACTGTTCTGTATGCCCTCATTCCACCCCTGTTCAATCCAATCATCTATAGCATGAGAAATAAGAATATCAAATATGTCCTTTCTCAAATGTGGAGGTTTTGATAAATTATTTCAATGTTGTATATATATATATAACATTGAAATAATTTATCAAAACCTCCACATTTGAGAAAGGACATATTATATATATATTAATTTTCCTTCTCTTAATAAAGGAATAAAAGTAGAAATGGATAGTTGGGATGGAGGCAAATCCAACAAACAGAAAAACCATAGAACTCAAGATGTTATTTGCAAAAATCCTGCATCCCTAATTATGTCAATTTAGTTTACCAATGCTAAATATGAATGTTTGGCATCTCTGGAATTCCACAGGCTTGGAAAATTTGCTTGGGAAAATGACATTGTGGGTTTGATAATGACCCGTTGTGATGGAATGCTAGCGATACTACAACTGTGTAGTGATATAGAATCTGATTCTGAATTTGAGGAGAAGTTAGTTTTTTGAGATAAGCCTGTCAAGAAACCAACTCCTCAGGTTAACCTGAATTATGCTGATATTTTTAGAATATGAAAAGCCTGCAGTATTGCATTCTAATGACTGTGTCACCATGGCACTCAGTAGTAAACAGTGCAGGGAAAAACATCTAAGATTATCTTATTGCAAGGAACAATGTATTGCAGAAAACAAAAAATATTTCCCAACAAAACTGAGACAATGTAATTTAGTTTTTGACATGTGTCCTTACATAACTCTCTAAATTTTATTTACTGTGTATCTTGTTCTGTGAGATTTTATTTATTTATTTCTATTACATTTACTGAACTCCTTATGCTATTATTAATATTTTATAGGTCTCTGTAGGTTTACATTGTATCTCATTCTATGAGCCTTGTTTTAGTATATATCTGAAGTTTCCTCAGGTAGCCAAATGCAGACTACAAAGGGGTGTAACTTGGAATAAAACAATGTAATAATCATCTTGCTTGTTTGGCCTGCCATCACAAATTCCAACAGTTTCTATGGTTTTATTGTATACCTTATTTTATTGGCATTCCACTAGATTTCTTTTTTTTCTTTTTCTTTTTATAAAAAAGTTTGTTTTTATATTTTTAACAACAAACATAGACAAACATAAATATAAGACAACAAATAAAAATCTTCTTTCAATTGTACAGCGTTTCAGTTGGTACATATTTCTTGTGCACAATATCTATAATCTTTTCCTCTTATGTTTAAATTTGCATTCATGTTACATTAATCAACTTTTCATATCATATTATATTGTTATTACTTCATCATTAGACTTTGATTTCAAATACACATTGTCCTTTAAAGCAAATCTCAGTTCTTACTAATTTTAGTTCATATTATAATTAATTCCAAAATAATCAATTATAACATATCATTACTATTAAATTATACTTCAATTTCCTACATTTCTATCTAACTATTGGTAAAATAAATCCCATATCTTAAACTACTCTTTTTCTTCTTGCTGTCTAATTGCTAATGTTAAGCAACTCATTTCTGCATATTCCATAATTTTCTTAATCACATCCTCCTCCCTCAGAATTTTCTCATTTCTCCAATTTTGAGCAATACAATTCTAGCTGTAGTTAAAACCTTAATAATAAGATAAGTCAGTTCTTTGTTAAAACCTTCGGGTAATATTCCCAACAAAAATATCTCAGGTTTTAAATCTATATGTTGTTTTATCAGTAAATTCTTTATAGAACCATTCTATCTTACTATCTTTATCATATCTGGAATGTATTTGCACATATGAATACCAATGCATATTTATCCCTTGCTCATCTAATTCTTACTTTGTTTTGAGTTCATCCTTTTCATTTAAAATCTCACCATATAACAACGTCTTCCATTTAAAAAAATAATTGGATAAGCAAATGCCTCTATTGTTGATAACCAGGCTGGTATTTTCAGATAATGTTGCTTCTTATTTTCTCCCAAGTTGATAGCAAGGCATCTCAGATATAATGTCTCCTAAAATACCCATGTGCTTTACTTTCTTTATACCATAAAAATGCATGCCACCCTAATTGTAAATCATGGCCTTCCAGAGTTAGCAATCTAACATTTCTCAAAAAAATCCATTCTTTCACCCACACCAGTGTTACAGCCTGGTAGTATAATTCCCAATTGGGTAATCCAATTCTGTCACAATCTGTTGTTTATAATAATTATCTTCCTTTAATGTTCTGCATCTTGCTGTCAATTGTATTCCCAAATATTTTACTTTGTTTGTGATCTGGATATTTAATCTGTCCATCAATTCTTTCTTTTGTTTTTCCATTATGTTCTTAACTAACATCTTGGTTTTATCTTTATTTCTTTTTAGTCTTGCTACCTGTCCATATTCTTCTATCTTTTGTATCAATTTAGATGCTGTTTCCGATGGTTCTTCTAATATAAAGACCAGATCATCTGCAAATGCTTGTAATTTATATTCTTCCTTTTTTATTTTCATTCCCTATATTTCCTTATCTTTCCTAATGTTTCTATTAAGCACTTCCAAAGTTAATATAAACAACAGTGGCAACAGAGGACATCCTTGCCTAGTTCCTTTTCTGATGTTAATATTACTTTCAAATCTCCATTTATCATTACTTTTGCAGATTGTTTGTGATATGTAGTCTCAATCACCTTAATAAATCTTTCTCCAAAGCCCATCTCTTCCATTTGCAATAACATAAACTGCCAATTTACATTATCAAAGGCTTTCTGTGCATCTAAAAATACCAAGGCCATTTGCTTCTCTGGATGTGCTTCATAGTATTCCAGTGTATTCAGAATTATTCTCGTGTTATCTTTTATTTGCCTCTTGGGCAGAAATCCATTTTGATCAGTATGTATAAAGTGATTCAAATATTTTTTAAGTCTTTCTGCCATTATTGAGGTGAATATTTTATAGTCTGCATTCCGCAGGGACATAGGTCTATAGTTTTTTATTTGTTGCAAGTTGGTATAAGAGTAATATAAGCCTCTGTCCATAAATTGGGTATTTTAGTTTTGGCTAAAACCTCATTCATTACTTCAAGCATTATGGTATTTAAAGATTCCTGCAAAGTCTTATAAAATTCCATTGGTAGCCCTTCCGGGCCTGGAGCCTTTCTAGCATTTTGTCTGTTTATCACTTCTGTCAGTTCCATCATTATTATTTCCCCTTCTAGCATTACCTTAGTTTCTTCAGGTATTTGGGATAACTCTGCTTTTTGCAAATATTGTTTAACTTTTTCTTCTTCAATATCCTCTCGATCATATAATTTTTCATAGTACTTCTGTACTATTTCTCCCGCCCCCATTTCCATTACAAACCATTCAATGCTCATCTATCAATTGTATTATCCTTTTTGTTTCTCTCTCCTTTTTCTTTTTCTTTTAAATATACTTTATTAATTTTTACAATTAAAATAGACCAACACACACATAAATGCAAGAGAGAAAAAGAAGACAAGAAAGAAAGAAAAAAGACTAGAAGGGAAAAGATAGAAAACAATTAAAAACATTTTCATCTTCAACAATTTGTGAGACCTCCTTTTTATCCTTATTTTATACCTTATACACAATTAATCCTTACATATATCTATATATCACTACTATAATTCTATCATATCTTCTTTTGCCTTTTAGTGTGAAGCCTATCTTTGATCTATCCATTTGTACCAGCTGTTCCAGCTGTCATAATATATTGAAGTGTCTTTATCTTTTAATGCCAAGGTTAATTTGTCCATTTCTGCACAACTTGAAATTTTTTGAATAATCATCTCTGATGGAACATGAGGCTGTTTCCAACATTGTGCAAAAGCCAATCTGGCCACTGTCAAAATATGTATTATGATATATTTCACTTTTTTTGGTAGTTCTTTATCAAAGATCTCTAATAGAAAGGACTCTGGTTTAAATTCGATCTGTTCTCTTGTCATTTCCTCCAGCCAATTTCTAATTTTCTGCCAATATTTTTGAGCTTCTGTACAAGACCACCACATATGGAAGAAAGTTCCCTCTTTTTGTTTGCATTTCCAGCAGTCCGGTCTCATATTGGGGTGCATCTTCACTAATCTCGAAGGAGGAAGGTGCCACCTGTAAAACATTTTATAGGCATTTTCTTTGTACGCTACCAATTTTGTGATTTTGTTATTTCTACTCCAGACCTTTCCCCATTCTGTTAAATGATACTACGTCCTATGTTCCTACTCCAGGCTATCATGTTCCCTTTAACAATTTCTTCCTCTAATTCTACCTCTAATAAATAATTATAAAATTTTGTTATATTTTTTTTGCCTGATCCTAATAAAATTTTATCTAATTTCTGGAGTTTATTATTAATTCCAAATTCTTTCTTGTCCTGTTTGTATCTACTTTGAATTTGAAGATATGCCCACCGATCAATTTTTAATCCCTGATTTTGAAGGTCTTGCCACAATTTCAGATTTCCTTGTGTATCCAATAGGTCCTTATATTTAATCATTTTAGTAATATCCAAATTATTTGGGTGGATCATTGCCTCCATTGTTGAGATCCAAATTGGTATCTTTAAGTAGTGTTTTTTCCATATTTTCTTCCAATTAGTCAATAATGAATCTCTGATTAGGTGTCTGTGAAAATATTTCTGGCTAGTTTTCCCAATATCTCATAAAAAAGCATGCCACCCCCTCTGTAAGTCATGGCCTTCTAAGAATAATATTCTCTTATAAGTCAAAATCACCCATTCCTTCAACCATACTAAAGAGGCTGCACCTATAATACAACTCCCAATTTGGAAGTGCCAGCCCTCCCTTTCTCTTCATATCCTGCATTGCCTTTAAGTTTATTCTAGGTTTTTTTTCCCTTGCCTAATGAATTTTGCAGTTATTTTATTAAGTTCTTCAAAAAAACTTTTTGTGTACTTTAATTGGAATCGTCTGAAATATATAGAGGAATTGTGGAAGAATATTCATTTTAATAGCAGCAATCCTGCCTAATAATGAAAGTTGCAGCTTGGCCCATGTTTCTAAATCCTTCTTTACCTGTTGCATTAATTTATCATAATTATTTTCTTTAAGTGTCTTACAATATGCTGTCAACCATATTCCTAAAT